ACCCCAGACAAACTGCATGCGCATCAACGTCAATGGGAACTACGACAAGATCCTGGTCAACAGTCGCTCGAACACGAACACTGTCAAGAGTTCGATTAGCGTGGGGAATACTCCTGAGAAGAAGCAGGCCTTCCACGAGCTGCTCATTTCCGAGTTGGCTGCTATGCGCAATAAGTCCTGCTCTCTGGAGCAGCTTCCCACTAAATCTTTGTCATTGGGGCCTGTGGGCACACCCACACCCACACCAACAACAACATCTACGCCCAGGAAAGTGATATCACGTCATCGCTACAACTCCATTGATGATGCCGATGATGCAGAGGACGTGGATGCAGACAATGTAGAGGATGCAGACAGTGACGGGGATGAAGAGCACACACTTACCACCTATTCGGCCAACAAATTGGGCAAGGAAAACGCCGAGATCGAGGCTGAGGGTTCATCTTCAGGAAGGAAGCGTTGCCCCTCGGGCTGCTCCTCAGACTCGTCACCGTATGGGACAGAGCGGTCGCAACGTATCCGTACCTCAGACTGGATCGAGGTGGGCGACAATGGCACACAGGTCACGCTAACCAGTTGCCACATTAGCCTCGAGGACTCTGGCATGGAGGATGAAGAGCGGCTCGACGATATGTCCTCATCGGGCGTTGGCGATAGCTGGGATAGCGTCAAGGAAGCAGAGAGCGAAAAGCGTTCTCGCAGCGTAAAACGGTGAGTCACAAGATCAATTGAATTCTAATTAAGTGGCTCGGGGAGGCTTACAGATAAATTAAATTAAATTATTCAGAATCTGAGTCAGTCAGTTCTTAAGGGAACTTCTCGTCTGGTAATAAAGATGCAGTTCTTGTAACCCATTTTTTCCGGATTCGCTAATGAACTGCCGCAGTGCAGTGTTTTCCCTGAGTTTCACTAGGCTTTTACTACTGACACGCTTTTGCAAGTATCTCTATCTATCTACCTATCTATCTAACTGCTCTCTGTGTGCATTCCACGAAAGCTTTGAGCACTTCCATATTCGTATCGTATCTCTTGGCCCATTGTTTTTTTGGCTCTCATCTCTCGCAAATGGCTGCCAGAGTGAGATCTCGATGTGAGCTGGAGTAGAGGTTTGTTTTACCTTAATTTGTGTGTGGTGTGTGGTGCTGACATCATTTTGAATGTACTTTGTTGCATGTTGCAAATTGTATGTTGCATGTGTGAGCACTGCGCTTCATTGCAGTTGCAACAGCAACAGCAGCAGCAGCACACTTTGCAATATTTCCGACTAATACTACCTAAGCTTTATATTTTGTAGGTATATTTGTATGCGTATATTTTCTCGTAAATATTTTAAAAGCAGAATTGAACAACAAAAAAACCCGTTTTCAGTTGAGTTGTCGCTCTTTTGATATTCAAAGTATTTGTATTTTAGCTGCGTATACATTCATTACACTATATATGTATGTATGTATGTTTGTTTGTACAATATTTACATATAATTATATATATTGTATGTACCCATGTACGTACGTATTCATACGGCAGTACAGTACGTGTTTGCGGTGCGGTGAACAATAATGATTATCGTGACTCACATTGCTTGGCATTTGCGCGATCGCACATCGCACACACGACCAATTTACGAGGGTATATCGTATCGTTTCGTATCGTATCGTATCGTATCGTTCACACTGAAGTATGAATACTCGTACGTACACAACGGTGCATTTGCTTATTCACACGAATCACACTCCCATAAACTTGCCCAGAGAAGTTGCCATGGCATGGTATGCTCTCTGTGTGCTCTCTAGGGTGATGATTACTCAAAAGCTGACAATTCTTCGCTGTGGCTATAATTTGTTGTTTTCTTTAGAAAGTTGTGAAATATTCATTTGATATGATCTGCGATATCTGCCATTGAAATATTCCATTTTGTTCTGTTCTCTTTGGAGAATCATACGTACATATCTATAACGACGTCTGACAATTTGTCTGATTAACACATACACAGATTGTGGCAAATATATTCTGGAGACATGGAGTTCTAGGGCGCTCCAATGCTTCTGCAGGGGAAATCCAGGCTATTGGCTTTCGATGATATCATTGAATTGAGATTAAATCACACAACAGTGGCGACAATCAACTCGATCCGACTCTCCGTTGCTCCATTGCTCCATTGCGCCCCCGTTGCGCATTTTTCGATAAAAATGTATTTCTCTTTATCTGCACGGGTATATATGTATGTACATACATAGGTATATGTATAATTATGTAAATATTTATGTAGGCATATTTGAACATTCATATTTTTTATCGAGAAGTAATTTCACCTACTGGGAAATGCCAACGGTAAATTGCGTCTTTCGATTGAATGAAATAAGCTCTAACACACGTACTCTGTATGTGTATGTGTCTGTGCATGTGCATGTGCATGTTCTTGTGCTTGTGTATGCATGCATATGGCAGTGCAGCGGACAACCGTTGAAACTTCGTCGCGCGAGCATTATAAAATAAATTCAATCGCAGCGAATGGAGAGCAATTGCAGCACCAATCCAACATGTTGCCGCTGCTGTTGTTGCTTTTGTTGCTTTTGTTGCTGCTGCTAGGCAATGCTCATGCTGATGTGTCCGAAGTGGTTGCCGCTTCAACTCCAATTTAATTGCATAACCAGTGCCGTTGTCAAGAATTGTTTACCATTTCCGCTTTTTCCGGTGCACCAGAGACAGAGAGTCTTTCGAAGAAATAACTCAGATTCGGGAGATCCCCCATTCAATGAATGATTTCCTTTGACAGGAGGCGAGTGTAGAATGATAGGAATGAGCTATAGCCACATTCGATTTGGTTTCGTGTTTACTGTAGAGCTTTGTGTGTGTTTATTTATTTATATAGGTCTCTAATGGGGATACTGTTGTTGTTTTCGTTGATTTTTAAGTGCTTAAATATTCGGTAGCTCGACTCAAGGCTCTTCCGTGAATGGAAAAGACTTAAAGAATGACTTCTGATACGTATGATCGGTTGAATACAATCCTCTGCAGAGATATCTAATAGCACAAAGAACTTACTTGTAATCTTGTAGTCGGTATACCCAAAAGGAAAGGCACTGAAGCAATGGTTCACAGCTATTTGAAACACCTTCAACTAAGGTTACAGCTGCGTCTGCGTCTGGGCCATCCAGCCAGCCAGCCAGCAGTCGGGTATGTCTCTTTTGGCTGGTGGATCAGATGTTCCACAGACGTCAGGTTCTGTGCTGAGAGTGTGAGAACCGTTAAAGTACGCATGGCCAAGTGACTCGGCAGTTGGCTGGTCGCGGCCCAGCTGAGCTTTTGACTCTCTCACAAGCGCAAGAGTGGATTTTTGGTGTGTTTCCATTCCTACATGTTTTAAAATGATGCGACAGATATTTCAGAGTTCAACTACCTTGAGTTCTGGTTGTGTTAAAGCGATGGACATGTCGCAAAGGGTAGTACAGGGTAGTACACGTCGACTGTAGCAGAAAATACTTTCTAGACGAAGGAATAACCTCATTTGTCGTTTCTTTAGCTAACCAGGAGACGTCTCAGTGCTAATTTTAAAGTAAATACTGATTCCGTGAGAAATAAACCAAGGCAAAATATGCGGAAGAGTAGCCTGGAAGCGTAACTGGACCTGTAAGGCAACCTGTTGGATGTGGATGTGGTTGTGGTTGTGGCTGTGCTTGTTGCACACAGGAGCGTAGGCTGGCCAACAAGCGGGCTTACATAAACCAAAAAAAAAACAAAAGCGGATTTTGAATTTGGATACTCTTATTTTTATTGAGAGACTCGGTCTGGCATTGGTACAGGCTCTGGCACTGGCATGCGCTCCTCTGGGAGTTACAAGATCGGAGTGGCAGTAACCGGAAGCAAGTCAGCACTGGACTGGTGAAAAATGTTCACAAAATTCACAAAAATAATGTGCCTACTATAAAAACCTCCAACTTGAGGAGTATTCAACTTTCATGCCTCGCAACGAACAGAATTGTTATGTACTCTTATTTAAAGCGACAAGAGCGTCGAATACGAGGTGTATGAACACTTTCTCTACAAGAAAGGTGCAAAGGGTCATTCCAAGATCCCCGCTCTTTCTGTGCTTCTTTGTATCTTAAGCTCCGTTCGGGGTCTGTCAAGTGTACGGACTCTGTAGACGCTAAAGGACTGGAGAGAATGCATTGTTGTACGCACAAAATAAAACCTCAGCTATCATGGCCCATGGCTATCCGAACAGTTTCTTAGCCATCAATAGACCGCGATGAAGCCATGACGCGATGAAGCGGTGAACAAGTTGCATAAATTAAGGTGGCACAGCTCTGGGCAGGGCAGCCACTTGCTCGCAGCGTTCTACTAACCAGGCAGGAATCCAATCCAATATAATCCGACAAATTTCGCTTTTCGTTGTGTGTTTAAAAGAGAAACCCGACCCAAGACTAATCGCGATGCCGTACAGCTCGGAGCTGGGTGAAAAAAACACACAAATTTATTTGGGTAACTAAACCGAGCCGAGCCGAGCCAGAGCTCCATTCGGGGCTTATTTGCATGAGATTGGTATTGGATTGGATTGGTTTATGTTGTATGTCTGTTTATTTAGAAACTAGAAAACAAACCAAAGCCAACGGAAATTTATGGTCTATGCAGTCATCAAATGCGGCCAGTTGTGGTTGGTCTGGTCTGGTCCGCTCGTTGGGCATTTGAATGAAAGCGAAAACGGTTCCATATGCGCCATTTCTTTCGTTCAGAGATCTAGGGAGTGGCAAGGGCCACTGCCACTTAGTTGGGCATCGGGCGTCGGGGATCGGAGATCGGGGATCTGCTGCACGTAGACTGCGACAAGTCGTGAGTACTGATGATGACAACAACGATGGAATGGAGATACTACGCGTACTTTTGTTCACCTTCTCACTTAATTTGTGCCGAATACGAGTCGCGTATACTGCACGAGGAGTAGTCCGGCGGAGGGGGCTGCGGATACAATGGAAAATTATGCCTCATTAGAATGCGTGAGAAAGTTACAGTGAGAAACTTTGCTGGAACTTTATTGTGTCTTGTCTCCATTGAGTCTCTTCCAATTTGGAGCCGCTGGCATTAGTCTTTCTGCTGTGCTGTGCCGTGCCCTCATTAGCTGGTGTTTTAAGAAAGAAAGATATGAACATAGTATAAAAGCCAAAAGTGGTCATAGCTGCTATTTAAATCGAACTCCTCCACCATCTCCATAGCTCCATAGCTCCATAGCTCCATAGCATGTTTGGCTAATAAGACTGAAGAATAAACCGAATACGCCTTTTGTTAAGCCTTAAGCGTATACATATTTACTTGCAGCCGGGTGCCGGGTGAAATTTCTGGGTCAAGAATTGGTATTATGATCACGTAGGTTGCTTGTCGAGAAATCGTCAGATTTCGCAGTGGCCCAAGTGGCTCTTTAGCTCTTCGGCCGCCGGTAATGGCATCCTGTACCGACCCATGCCAGTGCGTGGCATGCCCCGATTTGCCACCTGCGCGATGCTATGCGATTGTCTGCACTATTTTCGATTCGTTCAACGTCGCTGGCCGATAGGCGATAGTGCAATGGAACTGTAGCGTAGCTCTGCGATGCACAGCGGATGTCGCAGGCAATGCAGAGCACTTTTTCCTGGTTTATATTTTTAGAATGCGACATGCCACGCCACACGTCGCATGCCACGCTACGCCGCATGCCCCCAATTCGCTTTGGTCTCGCTTTGGGGCGGGCAAGGCTAAAGCATCCCAGTGGGAGGGGAGGAGGGGGACAAGTTGGGCAAATTGGGGTTCCACTCGACATATTCGAATATTTCTGAATGAGCGAAAACAAGGCGGCGCTGCGCTAGAATTTTATGAATACTGCCGCCTCTATCTGTGGCTGTGTCTGTGTCTGTGTCGCCTGCCCTTTGGTCATGGTAAAGAGCTGCCAGATACAGATATATTATTTTGTGTCGTGCCATGTACATAGATACATATGTACATATGTAGTACAAGAGGAGCTACCTTTGTCAGCAGCCGAGCAGCGTGAGAGTGTTTTCTGTGTGACTCTAAATATATCCATCGATCTGCTGATGACAGCCGGTCCACCGGTACACCCGGTACAGGGTGGTCGAACATCCATCATTCGAATCGAAATCTACGACTTTGAAGCTTTTGTCGCCCATGAAGCACCTCCCCTCCTCTATCATCCATCTTTTAGAGTAGAGTCTTTCTTCTATTTGCGAATGCAAACCCTGTTCGCCAGTTTAATTTTATTATTAAATCAATTTACGCATTTCATACAATATATATTTTTATCTTTGTCTTGATGTCTAATTCTCGAATGGAATGGCTACATTGCATCTGTATTCCGTATTCCGTATTCTGTGTGCTCACAGATCTTTCTCTCTGCTCGTTTTTCTATCTCTTTATCTCTGATCTCTGTTGATATTCTTGCCTGTCTTTCTTCGTGTGCTCTCTTTGGGATTTGCTGGGATTGGGTGATTTGAACGTGGCCAAAAGCAGCCAGCGTTTGATTTTTAGTTGCACGCGAATTTCTGAGCGCTATCAAGCAAAACAGAACAGAACTGAGCAGAACAGAACAGCGAAACTTACAGCGAATTAAAGAAACAATTCGAGTCTTTGTCTTCGCGCGAAACGGAACTACAGGAACATCGATTATATGTTCATTTTTCCCATACTGTTTGTACAAATTTTTATTTGTGAGTACGGACTACCGACGACCCTTGACGAGAATATACATACATATATCGTAGTACATACTCGCATACGCTGCTAAAGTGTTCAGATTAACCAAATACTCGTGCTCGTACTCGTACTCGTACTCGTTCTCATCTGTGATAAAATAAAATATGTTTTGGTTCCGTGAAAGAACTATAAAGATTATTCGTGTCGTGTCAATTCAATTGTGATTGCTGCCGATTGCCTAACAAATGCTGAAGCAAATGCTATTTTAACAGCCAAAGCCTGTAGAAATATGTATATAAATATAAGTTTATAAATAAACATATAAATATATGTATGTTTATTGTAGTGTTATTCATGTTTGTGCAAAGTAATATTCGCTGAGCTGACCTCTAGCCTTGGCGGGGGCATAAAAAGGGCTCCTTGGAAATTGCCTCGCAAAGATCATACTGTGTAATTGGTTTTCCATTCCAATACAGGAGTTCTATTCATTTGTTCGTTTGTTAACCTGCTTCTTGTTGTCCATTCGATTCATAGTCATCCACACAAATCATCCAAAGTATTCGTCCGCTTTTGGCTACGACCATTTACTGACTTGCTGAATATTTGCATAAATTAATAAGATATTGAATATTGTATTGCATGTGGGCTGATGAATTTTGTTGAATGGCGAGTCAGCTGTGGATCGTAAATAAAGAGATCTCCTACGAGAGCCACCCGCTTTAGTGTTTAATGAACTACTGAACTAATTAAGACACAAAGGATTTGATTCACTTAATTTATGTTACACATTCAGTCAGAGTCTATTCTTATGGCTTAGTTGTTGCTTTTGCTTTGCTGAGATTATGATTGAAGGTAGTCATCCCTCTCACAGAGTAGCCTAGCCCTAGCCATAAGAAGTGAGGTTTCACGTACTCGCTCTCCTCACTGCTAGCTCTGTCCCCCCTTCCCGTAGATACTGAGAACCGTGTTTTGTAGTTTCATGTTACCCCATTCGATTTCCCACCATAAATTGATACAACTTTAATGAGTATATGCCTTCTGTTTGTGGGTCGAAGACCCAGCATTCAATGCGTCTATTGGTAGCAATCGACCGCTAATCAAGATTATATTGCCTTCTTAACTGTTTTATATTTCTTTGAGATGTGGTTACTGGTTTCTGATTTCTGGTCTCTGATTTGTCTGTTAAGTGGGTCAGATGCGATCGATGCTTGTTGCCGTGCCGCTGTTGCAGTTAAGAGCCTAAGCAAAACGCGTCTAGCATTGACAATGCTTGTCTCTCTGGCTGTTTGGCAGCTTGGCTGCTTGGCTTCTTGGCCTATGATGCAGTTGGCTCTTTAACAAATCTTTGAACTCGTTTGCTAGCGTTCTAAAAGCCATAAGTTGATGGCCTTCGTGGCTGGTTTGTTGCTTGCCTTATGGATATAAGCTTACCTTTACGTGAAATACATATATTCAGTCCTATGTACATACCATACCATACCATACCATACCCTACATAGTTTCTATGTGCTAATTTTACAAATTGAAATATCATTGTTTGCTGCGTGTTTTCTGTCTGTGTTCCTTGTTGTTTATTGTGTTGCTGCTTCCTTTTCTGACAGCGATTCCCATTCGAAAAGTAAGAACTGTCGATATCCAGACATAGTATTTACCCACAATAAACACATTGCAGCTAATGTCATAAGTCGTTTGAAGCGCACCTTAAGCGATCGAAAGTCAGCGAGAATGTCCGAAGACCTGGACGATTTGTTTCTGTCGCCCATACCGGCCCCCTCGGCAGCGGAGCTACAGCAGTGCATCTTGTTCGGGTTCCGGCGTCGCCTCTGTCCCACCCAAATAGTCGACGAGTGCCGCAGCGCCTTCGGGCCGTTCGCGCCGAGTGCTCAGTATGTGGCCCAGTGGTACCAGCGCTTCCAGGACGGCTTCTTCAATACGAACGAAGATGAGCACGAGGACGCGGATGCGGATGCACCCACACGTGGGTGTGGCCAAACGCCAACTACATGCAGCGACTATGACGACGACGAGGTTCCGGGCATACTGCCCCTTGTCTTGAATGATATCGGGCACTGCCATAGCCCCAACAGACCTGTAGATATCAATGCAGATGAGGATTTTTATAAGGATAACAATGATGATGATGATGATGATGGTGATGGGCATGTTATTGGTTATTGGCAAGGTTATGGCTATTTGGGTGGCAAGCGAAGGTATAGTTTATCTAGGTCTATAGTCGGGTTGAACTTGCTCCGATCTCCCCGGTCTGACGATCTCTCATTTCTTCTTTCTCTTCCCGTTGCAGTGGAATCTCCATCAGTGCGCTGCCACCCCTGCCGAAATCTCTTATTGGCTTCAACAAACTTCTCGGCTCCGATTCGGGTCTACTCCTCAGCGATGGCGAGGCAGTGGAGGCACCGCCGGCGGCCCCGGAGCGTCTCAACAACAACAACAACAACAACAACAGTACCAGCAGCAGCAGCGAGACGAGCCAAAAACATACGAATATAGATATCAATTTGGGCAGGCAACATAAGAGGGAAACAAATGATAATAACGACAATAAAATTGATAAATCGACGCCGACGGCAGCGCCTGTAGCAGCGACAGCAGCAGCGACAGCGACACTTGAAATCATAACTCCGTCAAATGTATGTGCAAACGGAAACACGACCGTCACGACGACATCAGCATCCCCTCCAGCATCAGCAGCAAAAACAAAAGCGACGACGACTGTTTCACCTGCGAAAGAAAGCCCCCATCTCAATGCCAGCACTTTGGATGACCAGATAGCGACGCTGCGAAAGGAAATGGTAAGTTCTTAAAGGTCAAATCAAAAGGGTGAACAACAGATCCCTTTTACCCTTATCCGGCTGAGGATCGGGTCGGACAATAAGTATGAATATTCAAATCGAAAAAGTGAAACTACTCGGACGACAGAAACTACAGAAATGAAAACATCGGTCGGCTTCTGTCGTTCCGTTTCGTTCCGTTCCGTTCCTGTTGCAGGTTGATTTATTTATACATATTGTAGAAAAGAAAGTTATATTTTGACCCCGAAAAGAAAAGTTCAATCTTGGCTAGCCCACAGTCTTCCATAGTCCATCCACTTGAAATTAACGGCCAGGCCATAATATATGTTTTAAAATCAGACAGTGCAGAGACAAAAGGAAAGGGAGCTGGAGCTATCAATTCATTCATGTCATATTGGCAAAGAAATTATCTTCTTGGCATTTAGCAAAGAGAAACAGATACAGATACAGATACAGATACACAACCTTAAACATTTCCAGAGGGCTGCCTGACATTTTGCCAAATTTCGATTTGCGATTGCAAACAATTGCTCAAAGTTGAAAGCACAGGCGCACCATTTACGAGTTGGATTCAGTTCAGTGCTGAGGCAGAGACTGAGACTGGGCTGAGTAAATGGGTTGGACGATTTAAAGTAAATGTCAATTCTGCCGAGGCCCTAGAAAAATGGGTCGGGACTTACTCGCAGCAAAGACTAAACAATAGCTGGGTCAGAGACGAAGTACAGCCTAAAGAGAACTGATAGAACAGCTTTTTAGTCCCTCATGCAGCATTTTGGTATTGTACAGTCTTTGCTCGTAGTCAGAATCAATGGGAGAATAATATTATACGAAAATCGTATTATCAGGAATGTTAATCGCTTTTTACAGCCGGATCTTGGATCGGTTAAGCCCAAATGTCAGTTGTTAATGTCACGCACAAAGTTGGTCATACGATCTGTTGAACCTGTGATCGGATGCTAACATGTTTGGGGACCAGTTTGGGCCAGAATTCGCCAAGTTTTAGTGATGTAGTCTGATGTAGTGATATCATGATTCCCCAGTCATCAATTGAATAACTTAAGACAATTGCAAATTGTGTATGTTTTCTGCAATCGAACTGGGTTCTGGGCGATTCAACTGTCGTATATATGTAT